ATGAAAATAAAACTTTGCGTTGAAGAAAAGTAGATTTTTGTTTGTATATGCTGTCAATTATAGTTCTTAGAAAGAAAATCGGAATCGGCAAAAATCGGTATCGGCAGATCACACTAACAAAAAAATCGGAAATCGGAATCGGCCAAGAAAATTGCAATCGGTGCATCTCTACTTTTTAGTGAAAAGAAAACGATGTGTAAAATATTGCCATACCCCTAATGGAACACCACCAGATTGATCTTTTGAATTTTACAAGTGACTATTTATTTTTTATTACAAACAAAATTGAGGTAAAAATGCAAAAATGACCAAATATGATGTAGCTGAATTACATATGCTAAATGGTCACATGACCTCACTATGTTTCATACTACTGTTAAAAACATGAATTATTATTGCATAGAGTCTTAAATTGTAGGCAGTACACAGAACAGTAAGCAGTAAGCTGTATTCTAGCATTCGAATCAGAACAAAGCCCAGATTTAGGGCAAACAGGGTTACATTTGATACCTCCTTGCATTCATTGTCTTATACCTTCAGCGATGGCTCCCAGCACCAGGATGCCAGACTCTTTAACAACCCAGTCTGGGTGGAACAGCAGCTCCTTCAGCACTGGAAGCAGGGGGGGCAGCAACTCATCCCGAAACACGTTTGCCAGCACATCAAGGGCAGCCGCCGAACACTTACCTGCAGAGGAAATGCACATGTCGTACATGGGGTTAGATGTTTCACTCAGCACCAATGTAACTTTAGGCTTTGAAAGCTTTTTGTGGATCAGACAGTATGAATACTTGAACATCACTGACATTCATGACATTGAGTGTAATCATCTCCACAGAAAACACCAAGTATGTGAGCAAACCTTGATTGCTGCTTACAAAAACAGGCAAAATTTCAACAGCATTAGGTTGGTTTCTTTTACAAGACACTTACGTAGATTCCAGTCGGACAAACTGTCGTCGTCATCGTCATCATCCTCATCACTCTCCTCTCCTTCCTCACCTTCATTACCCTCGTGCCGAAGGGTGACGGTACGAGACTTGTGAAAGCGTGGCTTTATGTCCTGCTCGTTGTCCGGCACAGCCTCGTCTTCCTCCACGTCACCCTACACAGGAAGCAGAAGGTCGGTGTGATGAAACAACTGGCAATTTTGGACAGCAATGACTGAGTCAAAGGCCTTGGGTCAGACAGTATGAATACTTGAAAATCATGGAGAAAATCAGGGATAATGTTATCATCACACCCGAGGCCAGGCTGGTGCAGAAGTTCTTGTGAAGTGAAGTAACTAACCTTCAACAAAATGATGTCAATCTCAGAGTACTTCATGCCGTTCACCAGAACAGGAACCAGTCTAAGAGAGATTAAAGACAGGAGGTCAAAACTGGACATCAGGATATTTGAAGGTATAGATGGATGTGATCCAATCACTGGGGGATTAAACAAATAATGAGAGTTTCTCTGACAATTAAGCAATGCATTAAATAATTTCTAAGGCAACAGGCAGGAAGTTCAGTTGCTAAATACCGTGCAACAGAAGAAATGTGGCAATTGAGACTCTGCTATAGCGTAGTTATGTAAATTTTAACGTCTAAAAATGTCTAAATGTTTAGAGAGGGAATTTTTTACATATATATAATTAATCAAAACAATTACAATAAATTGTCAAATCAAAACAGGAAAAAGGCTATTTAGCTATTTAAATGTCTTATGTTTAAATGATTTTTAAAGTGGAAAAAAAGCTAACTTTAAATAATTACATTATATAATTAAGTTAATAAAAACAATAATGTGCCAAACAATTGAGATTCTGCTATAGCCTTTTTTTTTTTTTTAAGTCTTAACATACATAAAATTCTAGCAAATGCTATTTAAAGAAATTCAGTAGAGTAAAATTACATAAATTAATAATAATTGTTCAAATTCATTTACATATAAATTTTTTTCCAGAGAATGTGAAAAATTGTTTTAGAGGCAAATATTTAGTGGCAATTATAATTAAAATCGACAATATTTACTTAACACACACTGGACTTGCTAAGAGTAATTTATCATTGCATTTTACTCTAAAGGCAAGAAAAACTACATTCACACTACAGACGTTAAGCAGGATACTAATGCCCAGCTACGTTTTATGTATGCAATGTATGTAACGTAATGTATGCAGCATACCACGCTTCATTGTATAGTTTTATATGTTCAATATGGAACTACAACTTTTGGAGGGCAATCAAATGCATGGAACTAACTTTTGCCCCAATAATTTGTCCCTGTCTTCTGCATATCATGTCACAGTTCTGAACGGTTGCAAGTGAAGGGTGAGACTGTACATGTTTGTCAACTGAAGCAAACACTTTTGGTGAGACTCTTATGACAAAAGAGAAAGGTCACTTACTGTGCAAGATGTCCAGACAGGACGTCCTTACAGATGGGCTGTTCAGCCAGCGTAAGCCAGAACTCACAGGCCTCCAGAGCCACGTTCTCATCCGGGTCCTGTGAGCGCTGCAGCATGTACTGCACAAACCGTCAAGTCAATCATCAGCATCTCTGACTGCTCAAGATCTACATCACTTCTGGGTCATCAAGATCTCACCTCAACGATACTGCGCATGTGAGGGATGAGTCTGTCCACCCGCACCTCCAGCAGCATGACCAGAGCCCTGCACACGTTCTTGCGCACCTCCGAGTCCTCATCTGCGGCCAGCGCAAACAGACTCTGGAATAACAGGCCAGGAGGAAAACAGATTAAAACAATGCAATTACAGTATAGCCATATTCAGACAGTAATGGTTTCTCATTGGGAGCTGATTTCAACATTTACAGGGGCTAGTCAGTGATTTTTGCCATCTGAATCAGGAATGTTGGTGTTTTACACCCACCACCAGTGTAAAAAGTCCCAGCCAAAATACCCATTGTTTTTTGGCACCAAAGTTGTGTGGCATTTAATCTGTGAGTATTTTAATTTCATATCTGTGAGTTTACAAGGGATCAGTCAAGTTGTTGTACAATAACTGTTGCACTTTGTGGTAGTGTAAACATTTTAAATAGACACTTATAACTGAAATACTGGAAACTGCTTGCAAAAAATATAATGTCACTGCTTCAGTACAGTTAGTAGGAGCTGTTTATTTAAAAAAAAATAATAATAATAAAA